CTGTGACTCTGAATCCAGGGTCTTACTTGACCTAAAAGCTATGTAAGGAAAAATTTTGCTCCAAAGATACCTGACTTTTGAGCTGTGCCCTCCGCTCCTCAGCTCTGTGTTTTTGCTCTTGCTGTCTGGCTCGTTTGATCTTGACTCCTGCATCCCGCTGCTCGCTGCTTTTCCATCTACCTGTGTCCGCCTCACCGTCTCTCTGCCTTGTGTATCTCTTGTAAAGTTTATGGGTTTCAAAGTCCGTCTAGGAAAGCTGCCCCTCTGCCTCTCCTTCGCACCCCTCTCCTCACTTCTCTCTGCGCCTGACCTCTTTGCTCTCCCTGGAGCCCTCTCCCCCATTCAAGTTGCCCTTTTGCTCCTCCCGATGAAATCATAACGTGCTGGACTGCAGCCCAGAAGAGCAGCGATTTTATTTTGATCCTGTATTCATGAAAGAGCAAAAAATAGCATGTTTTTTTCAGAGCCCAGCCCTTCCCTACACCCCTGGAGGCAGCTCTTTATCCAGATTTACACAGCTCTTTCTGATTAAATCTTCCAATATCTATTTGATGTCACACCACTCTCTAACCGCCCTGCATTCCCCATTTTCTGGCCTATGCTTCTATGCGAAGTCTCCACCAGGAGAGGGGGGCCTTTCACCTTTGTAGAAAAGGAGAAAGAGAAATAGCATTTCTTAAAGCGAGTGTTCTTTTGGTCCTTTGCATGGCAGAAGAGTCACAATTACCTAGTTTAGCCTGGCTTGCTGCAGGTACTATAGAATGAAACAAACACAACCTCTGTTGATTTTGCTTTCACAGGAAATTCTGCCTTATGCCAACATTCCTTCAGGGGACAGGTGCCAGAGTGGTCAGAAGTCTCAGACTACTCCTGGCTCCTCCCCTGCCGGCCAGCACCCCAAGTCTGTAGACAAACTTTTCCGCTCTGCCCTCCTTTGCAGTCCCAAATCATTAGAGGGACTACGATTGTTGTATTTTGCTCAGGAATGTGTGTGTGCATGTGCGTGTGACGTGCATGCGTGTGTCTATGAGTTTGAAAGGCATTGTCCTATAGATATTTTTATAACCCAAAGCAATTACACCTGTCAGCACAGAGACGAGCTATGACAAGTTGATTTATGTGTACAGTATATGTGTATGAAAGAAGGCAGGGAGGAAGGAGAAGGAGACGGGAAGAAGGAGGAGGTGGTGTTCGTTAGAAATGTGCTTTCCAGGAGGCAGAGGAGTTGTTTCTATAAAGAACACAAATAATGAAATTGCTCTGACTGTCAGCCCTTTTTCATTAACTCGGATATGCTGGAAAAAAATAAAATAAATCCAGCCGCTTTTATGAAGCAAGAGATGGGATAGAAGATAAGCTGCTAAGTGTTGGTTATATTTAGGGATTAGGGGGTGGGAAGGCGGTTGACATACGATTTTGATCTTCATCTTTTCAAACCACTTCAATAGGATAGAATAAAATGGACTCTGTCCTGTTAATTGTGTGGGCATCTCTGGCCTTTCTTCACTTCCTTAACTTCATTGGTGACTCAAGTTTCGATCCCTGGGCCTAGGAAGCAGGTGTGAGGTTGTGACTGGCTTTTCTTTGTCTACCCTGAGAGTTACCTGAACTCTGCTGGGATTCTGCAGCTCAGAATTCCTCTTCACAGCCAGCAACAAAGATGGTTTGACTGTCTTAGGCCCACTGCATGCAGACCAGTGTGAAGTGCTCTTCTGAAAGGGCCCGAAAGAATCATCTTTCCACCTGGCCATAATAACAAAGCCGTGGCAGGAAAGATGCATTAATAAAGCATCTTCCATCTTAAATGAATTTCTAAGTATTTTCCTGTAGAGTTAATCACGTATGTAGGCCCCTTGGGAAGGCCTGCTGTTGTCATCATCCACATTACGAGATGCAAAAACTAATGCTCATTTGTGCCTACCTGGGAATTAGATGCAAGAGACAGAATCAGAATTTATCATGAAAGGAATCATCTTTGCCTTTCTCAGCCCTGCAGGAAAAGGACTCCAAAGCCCAGAATGAATCCTTCTCTCTTCTGCTTGACTAGTGTGTTTCCACTTGGTGGCATTTTGGGGGCATGACTATGTTGGGGGTGGTGGTGGAAAGGTAAGGTAAGGAGGAAAGACAATTGGAATGGATGGATAGATCACAGATCATGTATGGGCTCTCCGGGAGCAACCCCAAGTTCATCAGACTGGAAATCAGCAAAGATAACCTCACGCCCTACATCTGCTTGTATACAATAATTCAACTGAATGAAATCATTTATTTTTCCATTTTACAATTTCCCATTGGAAAACAGAAATAAAACAGGCTCTTTCACAAATGGACTGGTGCTAAAATAGGTTAATTCTCCTTTTCTTTCACAAATATAAATGAAATCTACTCTTTTCCGAGTTGTACTTTTTCTTTTTGATAGTAAAGTCATTCATTGGGAGCATCAGTTCACAATTGGCACTTCTGGAATGTAGGGCAAATGATCTCCCGTGATCCACGGCAGCAGACCACTTCCCGTGGAAGTTACTGTCAGTAAACGTCACCCGAGGAGAGAGCCAGGCTGGCAGCGTGGTGCTGCCAGTTAACACACAGTATTCTGAGGCATTCGGTGTGAGGGCGCGCAGCTTTCCATGGTTAAGCGTTGTGTGGTTAACTACAGCAGCGGAAGGCAAAGCTTTCTGGTCCTTCCCCCGCCATGTCCAGAGCCTGCTGTGCCCTTGCTCTGCACAGCAGCAAGTGTGAGGGCCCACGGACTTCAGCACCCCTACCATGCTGTCTGTGTGAATGTCTGGCTTTGCTCCGAAGCTGGGACGATCCTTGTCCAGTTGTAATAATCTAGACTCTTGGTTGCTGGGTGGCTTGAGGAAGAGTGATTTGTTGTCGTTGTTGTTATTTCACAGTAGTTTTTAAAAATAACTCAACAAAGATGGGCTAGGTCTGTTTAAAGTGAGCAGGAGTATTTGAGGAAGATCAACAAAAAGAAAAAAAAAGTCATACTGTCGGATTTGGTAGAAACTCCAAAGGAAAGAACAAAGCCACGGGTGCCTCCTTTCTATTCCCAGGAAGATTTAGGTCAGCACTGTTAGCTGTGGTCCGGGAACTCCCAAGAGGAGAGCCTATTACCGTTACCACCTCCGTGCTCGGGCGTGCTGTGTCTCTCGCCCCGGGACTGGGCCCAGAAGGGTAGTGCTCCATGCTCCTGCAGAGCTGAATGAAGGCAGGAATGAGGCAGGCGAAGTAGGCCCCAGCAGCAGCTGCAAGTAGCCAGGTGAGGCGCGTGTTGGGCTGCCTCTTCCGCTTGGAGAGGAATCAAGTGGTGCAAACGTAAGGCTGAGAAAACATGGGAGTCTGTCCTATAAATGAAGCCAGGCCTCCACGCAAGCATTCCAGGATGCCCACAAAACAAGAATAAAGGACACGCCAATTGGCGCCAGGCTTGATGGACCTTGTTGATGCGATTTCCTGTGCTTCATACCCTAAGACGCTTCTGTGATTTCACATCCCTTTTATACCTAGTAGATCGCTATTAAGAATGTGTCCAGTCCGCGGGGTTCTACGTAGCTGTTGGGGGTGGAGGGGTGGGTGTTGTACTGTTGAATCAAAATAAGATGCTTTTAAAATATCCAACACCCGAAAGGCACTCTAAATGCTAATAGAATTAATGTGCTCATTTAAAGGAGCATGTATGCGTGTGGCTGGTTTTCTCCTTCAGGTTAATCAGTTTGTGACTCTATTGAGGTGTCTGGGGCTTATTAAGATTTCAAGGGAACTTTGTCTTTCTCGTTCATTGGGAAGTGCCTGCTTTTCCAAGGGGGAAATGGTTAAACTCCGGTCCAGGCTGGTGCAGGGCCTCCGCCCGCCCGGCGCGGCGGGGGTTAAGGTGGGCGCAGCGCCCCGCGCCCGCACCCCGGGAAGAGCGCGAGTCCGCGCCGCCCGCCCG